CTAAATAATAATATAAATGCATTGTTTTGTTTAAGTTTATTAATTAAAAATACAACAAAAAATTTAAAGAAACAAATTAAAAAATTTTAATTTTCCCATACAAAATAATTTCTTTGCAATAAGATTGTAAATGTTTTGCTATTTAAAATAATAAAATAAATAAAGAGAAAAATTTCGAAAATACAAAAAAAAAGAAAAGAAGAAAACCCAGATGAGAAATCATACGCAATATGTATTACATGCAGCGTGCCACGCCCACAAAGAGGGCATTGCTTGCGTGCAAATAAAACTAAATAATAATAATAATGAATAATGAATAATGCATAATAATAATGGTAACAATAATTATAATAATATTCTATTTTAATGTTTTAATATGTATGATGAATTTTTGTTTTTATTTTGGCATTTGTGTGGTAAAGACAAGAAAACAATAAGTAAATAAATAAACATATTTATACAATGTAAAATCGACTTTCAATTGTTTTTCATTCTGTTAACTGTTTATTTTGACAGCATTGGGCAAAGATGGGAAAGATACTTATAATATATATTACTATTATAATTTTTTAAAATTTTTGATATATTTGGCCTTGTAGTTAAAATAAAACTAATTATTTTTTTTTTTTATTATTTAAGATTAAAGGAGAACTTCAGTGAGATTGGGAGAGAAAGATATTTTAAGGTAGAGCAATAATCATAAAGAGAGAGAGAGAGAGAGAGAGAGAGAAAGAGAGAGAGAGAGAGAGAGAGGGAGAGAGATAGAGAGGGAGACAGAGAGTATTGCGTGTGATTATGACAGATAAATAGAGTGAGGAAGAAAAATAAATTGAATGAAAGAGACAGAGAGATATCATGCGCGTGCAAGCAAATGAAAGACAGCCTCAGAGATATACAACATGCATATTTTTACTCTTTTCAAGACTTACATCAATTAAAAACGAATGTATTTATTCCATAAAGCTTTTAAATATTCAATTAGAATATGTTGACACAGATCAATATATCCATGGCATATCCATGGGCATGTAACCATATACATATTCATTCTAAATATTTGTCACTCGAATATTCTCACTATTTCAGCGACAGCTCATATAAATGTTCTATTACACTCACGTTCACACACACAGAGATACGTCTGTTTGTCTGCTATTATATAAGACATCTATTAAGCTAAACGATTAGTTAAACGAGAGAACGTGCTGTTTGCTTGTATATATTCAAATGATTGACTGATTACCCAATGCATTTATGGATGTACATGACATGACTCTGCTTCTGTGAGCTAACTGCAATGCTCAGCTCGAACTGCAGTCATCCTCCATCTCTCTCTCTAGACACATAAATAATATTTAATTTAAGTATAGATAAATATAGTGGGAAATGCAAGCTAAGGCCGTGGGCTGCAAACAAATGTAAATTGGCTTTTGAATTGACAGATATATATTTTATTTTATTGGTTTTTATGAAACTTATAGATTTTAAATATTTGTATATGTATGTATATAAGTGTAAAACTAATTTTATAATCATTGGAGAAATAAAAAA